TGGACAAGCGGGAAACCGACCCGCTAATTCTCCGGTTAGGAAACGACCCGCTCTGCCTCCTGCGCCTCGGCCGCCCCCAGTGGCAGCAAGTTACAGCAGCTGTGTCCTCATTGTGTTCTTTTTCGTGTTTTTATGAAGTTCTGTTCTTAGGGTGGTGTCTGTTCTTATGGTGTTATGTTGGTTGTTCTCTATTGCTGCTGTAACACAGAAATTTCCCCACTGCGGGATCAATAAAGTACCTACCTACCTACCTACCTACCTATCCCTCCTCCTTCATCCGGGCTCAGTGGAGGCTTTGGCTACGCGTAATTCATCTGCAGTGTGGTTGCGGAGCGGTGTGGGCCTCGGGACGGGGGAGGGGCTGACGGCAGCACCCTGCTCGTTGAAGACAGTAACTGTAGAGTGATATGTGCTTTCACGTCAGTCTCCAATAACACCAGAAAAAGTCGCTAGATTTGTCGCTAGTCGCTTTTGACAAAAAAGTCGCCAAGAGGGTTTGGAAAGTCACCAGATTTAGCGAGAAAGTCGCCAAGTTGGCATCACTGGTTTTAGAGTTTCCCGTCGCATTTCCACACACAAAATTGTCCCTCGCATTATCCCGTCAGTGCACACACACACACATAATACCTGGATGAGCTTGATTCAAGGGCTGCTGACCTGAGACTGAAGATCATGAGCAAGATGGACACCTGGAACTCCCATGGCCGGTTACCAAGACTAAGTGAAGTGCCTTCTGAAAGTCTACTAGATGATGATATGAATGCAGCGCTAAGAACAATCCCTACTATGACCATCACTGAGACCAACAAGCTCATATACACCACACACCACAGCAACTGTGATCCTTGAGATGCATGGCTATAAGTTCAACAAAGGCCAATAGGGTTTATTGACAGTCCATCCATCTTTAATCACATTCTGAGGCAATACTTGAAGAATCTTGTTCTGCCACCTGAAGTCTGTCTCTTTCAGTATGTTGATGACCTGTTGCTAGCTGCTCCTGAGTCGGAAAGCATAATGGTTGCTACAGAGACATTGTTGACAGACTTGGCTCAGGGAGGTTTTAAAGTTTCCAAGGACAAATTGCAGATAGGAAGACCCACAGTTGCTTTTCTAGGACGCATGGTGTCAGCATCGAGATTACACATAGCTGAGACTCAAAAGACAGACATTCTCTGTCATTCTAAGCCCACCACAGTCAGAGAAATGATGAAATTTTTGGGACTGATTAACTTCAGTAAGAATTTTGTACCTGATTTTGCCAACCTGGTGGCACCTCTCCGTGCCATGTTGACAGAAGCGGGTTACAAGAACTATCTCTGCTCTGTGGTGTGGAACACACAAGCAGAAAAGGCTTTTGTGGACATCAAACAAGCTTTGTCACACGCATGTAGTTTACATGCACCTGACTACTCTCAAGCTTTCCACCTAGATGTTGATGAAAAGGACGGCATTGTAAATGCAGTCCAGTTTCAGAGAGGAGATGACAGTAGAAGTCACAATCGAAAGGTGTTGATGTACTATAGCTCTAAGCTAGATAACGTTGAGAGAGGACATCCAACTTGTG